TCCTATTTTGATCCGAACCGTCCGATGGGAGAGATAGGAATTTATTAGTTTAACGAAAGGTGTTGGCAGTCCAGCAAGGTGGAGTTTCTCAATCAGGCCTGCATGCCAGACCTGATCGAAAGCCTTCTGGACATCGAGGAAAATGCCTACGACGTGTTTCCTTTCGTTAATGGATTGTGAAATGAAAGTTGTTGCTTCAACCAATGCATTTTGAGTGGAGTGTCCAACCCTGAATCCGAATTGGTAGTTTGGTATAAGGAAGTGAGCGTCTAGGAATTCTACGAGTCTCTCCTTGAGGATCCTCTCGTAGACTTTACCTAGGGTGCTCAATAAAGAAATTGGTCTATATGATTCAGGGTTGGTTAGGGTTTTCCCTTTTTTAGGGACCATGACGGTGCTAGCCACTTTCCACGGAATAGGAAAGTAGCTCAGCGCAAGAGATGCATTGATTATATTGGTGAGCAACGGGATGATATTCTGTGGAAGATTTTTGAGGCATCTTCTATGGATGCCATCAGGGCCAGGAGACGTGTTTTTCCCTATTTTACACATCTCGCTGACGGTTTCCTCAGTCACTGGTGCCATCATCGGGTGAGGATGTGGTCCATCAAGTGGCTGAGGGTAATAGAATATATCTTCCACTCTCCGTTCGGTGGCTCTTTTGGATCTTTCGCAGAAATTTGGGTTGTTGGGTGAAACGAGGGTGGCCTGAAGTGTGTTTTTGAATGCTTCGGCCTTGTCTTGAGGATTATTTAAGATGACATTATTGATTTTGAGATGAGATCGTGGCTGACTTTTTTGTCTTGTTAGGACTTTGAGTTTATTCCAGAATGCAGAACCGTCCCGGTAGTCAAGGTCCGAGGTGACTCGCATCCACTGTCTTTGTTTCAGCTTGTTCACCTCGAGTCTTATGACCGCCGAGAGTCTATTGTATTCTGTTTTGATGATTGGGTCTCTGAATCTTTTATACTCTCTGAGAAGTCTTCGTTTGGTTTTTATTTGCGCGATGATTTGCGGCGGAAGTGTTGGAGTATAAGGATTATATCTTGTTTTGGGAATTGCTAGGGATGAGGCTTCTTGGAGAAGTTCCTCAACTTTGGAAATCCCTGTGTCAACTTGGTTATGTGTTGACATATTGCCTAACTCAGGAATATTTTGGTTGATGTGTTCTTGGAAAAGATCCCAATTTGCTCTACGATAATTTATCCTATAGATTGCAGGTCTTGGTTGAGGTAAGGAGTTAAAGTCAGTGTTGACTAGAAGAGGGAGATGGTCAGAGGTTATGGAATCACCAATGAAGCATTCATCGTCCATCCTATCAAGCAGGTTAACCGTGCATAAGATATGATCGACTATGGACATTCCTTGGTGGTTGAAGAACGTGACCTCTCGATTGGTGATTCTGGAAATTGGCAGCTCAAGAAGAAGGTCTGAGAGCTGTCTGCCCGGAATATTCGAGGTTGTATCACCAAATTGAGTATGCCTGCTGTTTAGGTCGCCCATTAAAACCGCCTTGTCTAGTGTGGAAAAATACTCGACAAGGGGTATGGAGAGGGGTGTGTTTGGATGCTTGTAATAGGATATTATCGTGATCTTAGTGTTGTCTTGTAGGTGTATGTCAACTGCCAGGAAGTCGGTGTCATGGAGCTGGCCTAATATGTGAGGAGGAGGAGTATGAGGTGTGGAGGGTATTGTGTGGTGAATCAATAGGCCGTTGCCATGACTGGCCTGGCTTTTGTTCAGGTGGTGTGAAGTGTATCCTGTGAAATTAGGGGGGGTTTTAAGTCGGGTGTCGGTGAGAGAGAGGATTTGTATGTTTTGGGTAAAGAGTAGATGTTTTATTAGTGCTCTCTTTCGACCGACTCCCGAACAGTTGACCGTACCTATTACACAGTTGAATGTAACGACTTATTGGAGGGGGACGAAGGTCATTTCGACCTTATTGTTTCTCGCTGTGGGCACTATGGAGTGCCCGAACATCTTACCCGACAGGTCGGACGAGTACTTCGCAATAGTCTCTCTCCTATCTGGCAGGACGTTCATTAGCAGCGTGGTTGTGAACTGAATCCACAACCTAACGTCTGCTGTTAATGTAGCCGGAGGAATCCTTCTCTCAGTAGTCAGAGGTTTTGCCTCTTGGTGGGAGGAAGGTGTCTCCTGCCTTTTGGGGCATCGAGGTGACCAAGCTGGATGAGTTCCCTTGCAGTTTGGGCACTTAGGGTTTTTCAAGTTGGGACAGTCGGCGCTTTTGTGCTCGCCGCTACCGCAATTAGGGCAAGTTGACTGTCGCGTCCGACACTCGGAGATTTCGTGGCCGCTTTGGCAGCATCTGCTGCAGTATTTGGCGGTGGGCTTAATAATGTTAGGATTGTGAGGAGCCTCACATGGCCTAATCAAGCCATCTATGCAGATGCCGTTGATTAAGGCGTCCGTGTAGTACTCCTCAGAATCGAGGAACATTCGGACCATTCTGGTAGGCTTGTTGAAACGTTTTGAAATTATTCGGTGAAGGGAGTTGAATGGAAAGTCGATTTCAACAAGACTTAGTCCGAGCTCCTCGGTGGTAATTGCAGTGTCAACATCGCAGATGACAAGATGGTAGGGAGATTTCGTGTCAGTTTGTGGCTTTTTGGCGGAACGTTGTCGTGAGTTTTTAGGCTCAATGACTATTGCCGGGTCACCAGTTCGGTCCTGGAGCGCTCTTGACATATCTTTAACGTTCAAGGTTTTGGACGCTTCCAGATATGCCAATTGGTCCTTCGGCACAAACTTAAGGTTAACCATAACACCCTTGAATAATTCTTGGGTGTTTACTAGCTGGAAAAACTTACGTTGTGTGTCGTAAGCTCCAGGGATGTTGAGCACTCTGTAAGTGAACCTTTGTGGAGGCTTCACTTGGCTCTCAGAACTGGTGGCAGCTGGTTTTGAGGCACTAGGTGTCTCGATGGTTTTGGTAGTTAGCTTGGAGTTTGCTTTGGAGGTGGAGGTGGAAGGCACCTCGATGGTGGAAGCAACAGTAGCCCTTTTTGCTTTTGCGGTAGCGGGGGCAGGGTTTGTGGCTGGAGAAGGTGGCTTTGGTGTAGAAGATGGTGTAGCTTTGGCTACATTGGAGGTTTTCTTTTTGGATTTCGTGGCAGATTTGGTTGGCTTTTTTGGCCTCTTAGACCTGGAACGAGTTCTAGGCCTAGAGGCTGGCGAATTGGCTGGCGATGTGGTGTTGGAGTTGACCTCCTTGATGGTTGGGAGAGGAGGGAAGTCCTCATAGCCATCAGAGTCGTTATCGTCCTCTGAGGCGGGGTGGGCAGGATTGAGTAGCGGCCTCAGAATGTTGAGGTCGCTTACGATTTTGGTGGTTGCATCAGGAAACCTGATGAAAGCTTCTTCTATAATGGAGGCCAGTCTGATCAGAAAATCACCAGCTGGCTCCACTTCGGTTGGTGGGGGAGAGTCGAGAGAAGGCATGCTAGGCCTTGTGGGAGTTGACGACATCACTGAGGCGATGGAATCTCCACCTCAGGACGTCCGATAGCTCCGTGGACCCAGGTCCAAGATTGGGAAGGATTTCGCAAAAGAGCGGATTTTTTGTGGGCGTTTCTTGCTGGCCAATGGCAGACTCACCACCGGCAACGAGAGAACCTCGTTGGATTAAGGTGTCTTGTCCTCACAAGAAACGCTTCAGTGCTCGCTAAGCACTTAACGGACCTTCGCGATCTATCTAAGAACGCCTCCGAGGGACGTCCTTGCGGACCACTACCCTTGGAGACGCTCTATCCTACACCCAGTCTACGTTACCTCTCGCCGCAATCCCTCCTACTACTAGGTGGTTTCCTATATTTATTATTAGCTTCTGTGTGTTTATTGATTTGCCAATTCTGTGTGTATATTAATTTGGATTCTTGATGGTTATTAATTTTCTTTTTCTATGTTTACTAATTTATCTTCGGTATATATAGTTTCGGTTTTCTATATATATATTATTTTGGGGATATATATTAGTTTTTTCTATGTTTACTAATATATATTTTTATATTTTATTTCTCTATATTTCTATATATTTATTGGTTGGGTATACATCAATTTTCATAGGTTGGTTATATATATTTATTAGGATCATAAATCTTTGCTGCTACTGCACTCGAAATATGCGAGCCGGTATGTGTACAGTGACCCTTTCGCTTCGAGTGCCTGGAGTAGAATGCTACAAATAGCTGCCCTTGAATTTGATGGTAATATGCATGATTTCTCTTTAAAATATATCTGTCATCTTTCACTTCCATATACTTTAGTATCTTCCTATCTATTGCATCTTTAGGACATATATCTTTTACTGAAATTAGACATTTATTTTCGACAATCATATTATTACTTATGAGTCCATCTGGTGTTGCAGCTAAAAAAGGATATTCCTGATGAACATACATTCTATACAATATCTAAACCAGCATTTTGCTTAATTCTTATACTGCAATGGATTATTTTTCTATTCCATGGGCTGTGAATTTATTTCCTTTAAAAGCATTTAAAATAATGTCTTTGGCAACCTTTCTTTTGTCGGTTGTTACCTTTAACTTACACATTCGACCAAAATTTGAGGCTGTCAGACGTTTCCTTCTTTCTGAATACCATTTACTTGAATTCCGTTGAGCTATTGTGTTATTGGATAATTGAATACATTCCTCATTATTATTATGAAGTTCCGATCTAAATTTTTCTTTAATTTTCTCTAATTTAATGATCAATTTTTAACGTTTTTTGTGCTTGTGGCCCATAATCTTCATCTGGAGCATGGTTTTTTGTTATATATTTTATTAATTTTTGCAAATTTTTGTAATATAATTTTCTTCGCAATGTATTTTTGATACACACTGAAATAAATTTTTTGTATATACGCCAGGACTTCTTTCTGTGATGCTTTTGTGAAGGGCTTGGTGATATTGACCTTTAGAGATGTACGACAAAGCAGCAGCGTGGCATCTCATTTCATAGGACCCCCGAGAGCTCTAATTTATTCTTTGACCTCCTAGAAACTTTGCTATTACATTATTATATTGTCCAGCATTGTTACTCATATTTTTCATAAGACAATTTGCATGGAATTTTAATCTTGCTGTACATAAGCTAATATCTTTCAACAGGCTGTATTCTTTCATTGGTATTGTATAATCTGTTTCTGATAATTTTACGTTACAAAAATAGTCTGCGAAATTTGAATGATTTCCAAATACATGAAGATGACTATTAGATATATCATTTTTTAAAAACTTTATTTTTAAGTCACTTGGTTTGTCTCACTATTGATGGTATTCAGTTGCTTTTGTAACGGCAGTTCTTAATCTTAATACGTTATTTTTTAAAAGCTTTCGTAAGAAAATTGGTACCAGTTTTCCATCGGAACTATATCGTTTTGTTGATAACTCTTTTAATCTTGTAAAATAGTTTCTTAGGATGTGGTTACGACATTTAATTTTTTCAACAACATTATTACCATATGGTCTATTTTCTAAATTTTTTTTATGACCACTACTATCTCCATCGGCTATTAAAAATTTGTAAGTTATTCCATGCATGTATTTACTACATTTAAATCCATCTAGAATTATTTGACTTTCCATTGCAGTCGAAGCTTTTGTCCAATTTTTATAACATACGTGTTCTTTATTTTCTCCGTATAATTTACAGTAGGAACAGTATTTGTTCCTAACTCCAAGATACAGAATTTTTTATGGTCTGTAACCAATACTATATTGGTTACAGATATTGGAATATATAAATAATCCAATATCCAATAATATATTGGATTTTATAAATGATATTTTCACTATATATTTACAAATCAGTTAGAAAAATATAAAAGTAATTAATTTAGTTTATGTAAAAAGTACTTATTTCAATTGACGTAACCGTCTATTTCTTCGTTTTACACTAATACATTTCTTGTGACAACGTCCCATATTTTAATTTAATAAAGATAATAAATAAAGAAGTAAATAGTCTTTATAAATTAATTGAGCAATATCTATACAACACAGCTTTTTACATATATACATGTGCTAAGCCGATTCTGGATAAACTAGATACCGACAGTTTTAAAGCCTTCATACCAGTGAGAATTTTACTACACATAATTTGCTGTGTAAAGAAAGATAAACTAGGGATAGGACAGTCGGTGTCGATTCGCTCTGTCTAAAAATTGCGCCTACGCTCTTAAATTGTGTGTGTTGCCTTGTGCTTAAAGGCATATCAGCCTTCAAGGGAGGCGGCTATGTTAAGTATTTGAATATTGTTATTTTTACAACCGGCAACGCTGGCAACATTGGTTCTGCTTCTGCCCACAGCAGCCGCTATTTATGACAGCCCGACGACTCGCAGAAAGAAAAAGAAGAAGAAAAAAGACTCGTATCTAACCTAATTCACATCACCACGCCACGCATACTATATATTCTTTTGAATCTTTTGTTCAGTTTTTCGTTGCATTATAATAAATCAATTTAGTAAAGTGTAGTTATTCATTCCAAAATTAATAGGCCTTAGGTGGCAACAAACACCACTTTTATGCCCGGTATTGCGGTATTACAAAACATTTTACTTGCCAAGTAAAATTTAGTTTGAAAGTAAAATAATTTACTCTACAGATTTGCGTATTATAAACACATAGTAAATTAATTCTGGAAGTAAATCTGCAAACTAAACTATAAAGAATATAATATATTATGTTAGCAAGATAACGTAAAACGTTACCACATAACGTTTTTTTTTTGACAAACGTTATCTGTGATACATCACATCAATTTTTATAATTTAACGTAAATGCAGGTTAACGTGCACGTTATTTAACATTTATTTTATTTATAAAACATTTTTGTTTTGATACATCCATCCAATCACAGGGCTGAATGTTAAGATTCAAATTACGTCACAGGAGTACAATCCGGCTTAATGTTCATTGGTTAGGCGGAAGAGGCAACCGTAGTAAGTCTAGGAACCGTGAATTGCCACCACGGTTCGTATAGTAAGTCTAGGAACCGTGAATTGCCACCTGGCATTCCATCTTCTCATTGGACGACTGAATGACATTTTTGACATCAGTTAGTGAGGTTAGGTAATCAGTATGTTCCAATGACGTATGATAGACAGTTAAAGTGCAGGTGACACGTAAACGTTAACACTAACGTAAACGTAAAGATATTACGTTTACGGACACTATACGTTTTAGCTGTGAAGTGTAAAACGTTAACGTCTAACGTGTGTTTCTAACCTTACTTTTACTCAAATTTGTTGTGGATTAATTACAAATTTGAATGATTAGACAGTGTCCTTTTATATTTTTTTCCTGGTTTGGTTAGTTTTTTATGAAATATTTTGATTGCTTTTACAGCAGAATGAAAGATATCTTTAATATTTGAAATGTGCGGGGAATCTGATTTCGAGGATGATGACGACATGTACGATGCTGTACTTCTACATGTATTTGGTAATAACTTATTGGAAAATTGATATCCGTCATTTTTTTTCGATTTTTTTCACTATTTTTAGATTACAATAATACAAACAAAAGATGAATCTTTGGTTAAAATCACAAAACAACAAAAAGTTTTTAATTTTCGGAGATTTGACAGAAATTCGGTAATACTCGGAACCATCGGAACAATTTGGATAACGTTAAGGGAATCCGTAAACGCACGCAAGGTTACGGAGACCCGTTAACGCAAACGTATGTATTCCTCTACTGCGCACGAGTAGCTGTCAAATTATACGTTAACGTTTTGCCCTGCACTTTAACTCCCTAATATATAGGGTTTGTTCCAACTCATGCAGAAACCGTACAGTGTACGGTAACGCTTCTGCGCAATACATAAAATGCGTTCCAACTGAAAATGGACCATTCATCGTACCGTCCCTTTGGCGTTCCAACTCAACTCGTGATCGTTCAATGTCGGTTTCGAAACCGTCATTTCAGTACGCGGGCAAAACCTATTACCGTTTGGACTGACCTGCGCATTAAGCGGCATCAGCAAAAATTCACATTTTAGTTCGCGTCTCGCGTGGCCGTTTTATTAAGTGAGGTTAAGTGTTTCGGTTGTGTTAAGGGTTTAGAGGGGTTTTACCTTTCCCATTGCACCAATAATGCCCCCTCAAAGAATAAATTTTAAAAATAGCTATTTAGTGTTTTATTTGATTTGAAATAGTTATTTCCAGTAAACATTTGCTTAATTTTGTTCAGAAAATTTTTCACCTCATGGTGAAATCTAGACTACGCAGTCCCCTATTCTCGCTATATAATCGAGTGTCCGAAAGATCTCGGCTCAAGGTATACTTCATCTAATTTAGATAACGACTTACGTCATGATCTACGTCAGAGATCGAAGTTGACATAGTTGCCAAAGTATAAAAAATCCTGACTCCATTTTAAATCAAATAGATCACATAATTAAAAAGTATTACTATCGCTTTACAATTATTTAAATTCTTACGTGACATTTTTGAAATAAAACACACTAATTGTGTTCTAAAAGAACAAATTTTATTAATTAGGAAAAAATATAAAACAAGAGATATTCATTTTAAAATTCAAAATAATAAAGTACATAAAGTGTCAACACCGCAACTGTCAAGTAAGTGTTACCAATTTATGCCAAAATTTTACCTTCGTTCGATTACAGTTACAGTGTGTTCCGAACAAATGTTCTTGATAAAAACGCTTTATAATGCATTTATACAAATTAAATGAAACATATTATTGTGTATTTCTTTAAGTTAACACTAATAGAAATTTTTAAATATTATTTCTACGCGTATATAATACAATATGTCTAGTGGTTGTAATGCCAGTGTACTCGGTAAAGTGATTCTAAAAAAGAACACACCTACCGCATAAATATTTCGTGTAGGTATCATGTGACGTCACAAGCTATGACGCCTATGACGTGCATCGTTATATAAATTAGATGAAGTATATGTTTATCAGAACAGCGGCGTGCTCATTTATATGTTGATGACTTTGTTCCCGTCTATAAGAGAACTAATTATATTGATAAAATAGTATGGCATTTTACTAAAATAGTAAGTAAATAACTCTCAACAATATAAAATAAAATTTGCTTGTCACACAAAATGGAGAAAATGTTTTTATAGGTCCATGATCTTTTCAAACACAAGATCAACTTCGTGATGCTTCGTAAGAAATCATGAATTTCGTGCATCTTCGTATCAAAACAATAACAAAGGTATTCATGTTTTGGACACTTTTTAAAGCGTTCACGGAGTCTATATATTATATGTCATTGGTATGTTCTATCTTTTCATTTCATTCGACGATTTTGTCACGTGACCTATTGGAGTTATGTTTAAATCGATGGTTTAAATTGTTTAGGAAAAAAATATAAGAAAATGAAAAATATTTCCTTTTGTTATAGAAATAGCAGGTCGCCGGTTAGATTACATCAATCGGGCTACAGCAAAGTGTTGAATAAATATTATACTTAAAGAGAAATGTCTTATAGAGAGAAACTGTGTTACTTATTTTTTTTAATGCATTTGATTGCCCAATACAAGGGCCATCTACATCAACAGCTACCTCAATTAGTAAGAGATTGTTTTATTAGAAAGCTGTTACTTTATATGTTTTCCACTATAATCTATAATGAATCTTCGAAGTAGAGGACAAGTTTTATTGGAGAGTACCAACCAAAAATTATTTGTAGAAGGATAAAGACAAACTGTTTATTTTGATTACAGTTTTGATCCAGTTAAACTATACCAGCTGCTTAATATTGAAGTAGAGAAAATTGAAGAAACAGCTACAAATATTTTATTTTAATGCACTATTTTAAAATTTCTTTGACTTTGTCTAAAGACATTTGATAATGTTAACAAAAAATTCTTATCTTACAGGAACAAGTTGACAAACTCTAGCTAAAACTAAAAAGGTTTGTTTTCTGAAATGTAAACGAGGCATCAGAAGTGTGGGACAGGAGCAAATTTACAATTATAGAAGAAAAAAAGACAAGAAGTTGTAAAGGGCAATCAATAAGGGCACTTCTGACAGATTTGAGGACTTTAGAACAATTTGTAGATAGTTTGTGACAATGTATCATTATCATCATCATCAGTGGCATCACATCTTTCTTCAGAACAATCCTCCATTGACCCTGTATCTGTCAACTCTTCTCCATTTTCTAATTCCAATAGATTTTAAAT